TAATTGTGTCAGTGTGATGTTTCATTTATTTTTTGTTCGATGTGAATGACAGGCAACTCACAGAGGACGAAGGAGCTTATACTAATTCCAGAGAGTCCGAGTCCAGTACAAAATCTCATTGTGGCAAACATTAGGAAATTATAGGACAAAGCGGTCGCAATCCCAAAAATGAAACTTGCCATGTAAGACAACAGAAGTGTTTTTTTCCGGCCAAACCTGTAAAACAAATTTTTAAAAAATTACAGTCAAATAATCTACGGAACACTTAAATGAAAAAAAAAGAAGCCTAGATTACAACTGTTAAGAACACTTTATTTTCTCTTAATTTTTGAAGTTGAATGTTTTTTTTAGCTCACTAAAATCAAAATAAATGTTAGACTTTTGAAAAAAATGGAAAAACAAAAAAAAAATTCCTTTGCACTTGGAAAAATAACTAAAATAAAATAAAGGAGGGAAGTAAGGAAATAATATTTGTTTCAGTATTTCTTAATTTGGCAAAACGTTTATTACATACCAATGAGGTATTGATGGACATTTTTTATTAAGACTCTGGTTGTCTACAAGACTGTGAGTCAACTGCTTTCAAAAAATTGTGTAATTTTAATTGTACTACCTGCAATGGCTATCCTAAATCTTGCCTTTGGCTTATACCAACCATATAGTAATAATTAAAAAGACTAAAACTAAACATTTTCCAACAAGACAAACTAAAATGAAACAAAAAAAATCCTCTGTAGAAACTAACTGAAAATACATTGAATTAAAAACTAAATGTCAAAATGAAATAAAATAAAAATTAATGAGAAAATAAAAAAACGTTAAAATAATTCTGGTCCCATTGTCACAGATGTTAAAAAAAGGCAGACCTAGCCATGCGGTCTGCCTTTTCAAACATTTGTGAATGAACGGGGCATTCAGAAGACCTCTTTGATTTTGAGTGTGATGTAATGGGATGCCACTGTTGCAACAAGTCAGCCGTGAAGTGACCACACAAGGTTCCAGAGCACCAAGTGCTGAGGGCCATAGCACATGAAAAAAAGGGACACTATTGATAGAAGAACTGCAGAGATACAAACTTTCTCCAGCATCAACCTGGAGCTGGAACTTTACGGCTTTGCTTTTTGGGCAGTTCCTGTATGGGTAATGTTTGGGTGGGCTTAATGCTTTGTCAGTATAGTGTACTTTTACATAATTGAAATATCTCTTATAAAGAAAAAAGTGAAATCCCTCTGACCTGAAGTATTTCAAAAAAGGTTGTTTTAAATATAAACAGTACTCTAGATAAAGGACCTTAGTGATGTGTTCTCCACTGTTCTGTCTTTGAGGCCTCTATGGAAGCATCCAAACTCACCTAATAGAGGGGCTTACTCCACCCTACTTGCAAAGTAACTGTGAATGATTACTTTTGGCAATACAATTTTGTTCTTTGCTATCTAGGGCTCATCATAATATTTGGCAATGCACACCCAGATCAATACAGACTTGTCACCATAGTTGTACTTGTACAAAAAAATGTTAAGCATAGTTGATTTTATTATTCAGTGTGTTTGTGCTCGATTTTAAAGGTGATGACATGGACTCACCTGTCACTAAGGAAGCCAAATATTCCTGATCCTAACATGACCCCCACAAAGAATATGGTGGCCGTGGCTCTGTTCATTTTTTTCTTGTCACAAACCAGATCCCACTATAAAGGGAACAGAGATGAAAGGAAAACATAGGCTAATTCACAACTGGTATTAATTTCCTGCTTGTTAAATGGAAATATTGATCCTCACCTCTGTAGCCAGAGTAGATCTGAAGATGGTGGTGTCATATATCCAACCATTCTGGCATGGCATTGTGGGTATGTAGGTTAAGTTGGAAGAGTTTGACAGCAGTTGGTACTGAGGCTCTGCAAACATCTGACAGGAGCTCAAACTCCCATCCTGCTCAAATGGGATATTAACATTGAGCCTCTCTTCCAAAGATAAATTCCTGAAAACACCTCCATTATTCTGAGACCTGATATCACAGTGGTGAGAGGGAATAAATGTAATAAAATTATTCAGCAGGAAGTTAAATGGTAAAGTCAGCCGTGGAATTATTAACAAGAGGAATGTTCTTAGTTGGAATCTTCCAAAGCCATTGATCTCTGTCAGCACATTGTCAAACCTCATCTTGGAAAACAAAAGAGACACAAACTAGAGAATAACCTGAAGCAAATACCTTCAGGAGCACAAAATAGATTTTCATAGTGAGCCACAAGCCGCTTTTATTCCATTAAGCGTTCTTGGTTAACGGTCAGCTGATGTTCAATGTGTTAATTTGTTGTTAGGCAGTATGAACAAAATAAACTGAACTCAGTGAACCGTAGAAGTAAATAAATAATTTTCCAAGAAAGCTGTAACTTTAGTGATAAAGTGCCAAGGTCCAAAGTTTAAACAAATGTGTATTGGCTGAGTTTAATACAAGAAATTTCCAGTGGGGAAAAGGTCATTCTTTTTTTCCCCTTTTTGTCAATACCTGTAACATCTTTATGTCTGTTGATCTAGCTTTTGAGAACATTTCTATTTTTTAACCAGAATTTAAAGTTAAGAAGTGAATTTGTTTGGGTCAAGGAGAAAAATTGATGTGGAGCACATTCTTTGCACAATAGCTCTAAAATTAGAAACATGCTGTCTCAGAGTGACCCTGAAAAACTAGTTCATACATTTGTTACTTCTAGAGGGGACTACTGTAATTTGTTATTATCAGGATGTCCTGATAAACACTTCAGTTGATCCAAACTGAGGAAGAGTACTGACAGGGGCTAGAAAGAGAAAGCATATTTTTGCTATATTGATATTGAATCATTGGCTCCCTGTTAAATCCAGAATTGAATTTAAAATCCTCCTCCTCACATACAAGGTCTTGAAGAATCTTGCCCCATCACATCTTAATGACCTTATGGTACTGTTTCACCCCATTAGACTGCAGGCTTACTTGTGGTTCCTACAGTATTTAAAAGTAGAGTGGGAGGCAGAGCCTTCAGTTTTCAGGCCCCTCTTCTATGGAACCAGCTTCCAGTTTGGATTCGGGAGACAGACACTATCTCCACTTTTAAAATTAGGATTAAAACTTTCCTTTTTGCTAAAACATATAGTTGGGGCTGGATCAGATGACCCTGGATCCTCCCTTAGTTTCGGTAGAATAGGTCTAGGCTGCTGGGAGATTCCCATGATGAAGTGTTTCTTCTTCACTCACCTTTTTTACTGTGTTATATGCCACTCTGCATTTAATCATGAATTATTATCAATCTCTGCCTTCCTCCCACAGCATGCCTTATTTCCTGTCTTAATTGACTCGAGAGTTTTTCCTTCCTACTGTTACCAAATTGCTTGCTCATCAACAGGGGGTCATATGATTATTGGGGTTTTTCTCTCTTTTCTTTGTATTATTGTAGGGTCTTTACCTTACAGTATAAGGTGCCTTGAGGCAACTGTTGTTGTGATTTGGCGTGATATAAATAAATCTATATTGAACTGAATTAACAGAGAATGAAACAAAATGGGTCTGCAGATGGAAATTAGCCCAAGGCTATAATCTGGCATATTTACATTTGTTAAAATGTTCATTAATATGTATTGCCCCTCTTTCTAAAAAATAAATAAATAAAATTAATGAAGCCAACATCCAAGGAAAAGCCTTGAAATGTCCTTCAAGAAGCCTGGAGAACTATTCCTGAAGATTATTGAAAAATATTACAAGAGAAGATGCCTAAGAGACCTCTTAATTTAATGTGAACAGAGATATATGAAACAAAAGCTCATTAATGTTTCAGTCATTTATTGAGACAGTTTAATTACCAACTATTACCTACTATATAATTTTATATCCACAAATCATATTTTTCCTAAATGATATAAAGCCAAACTAGAATTTTCATTAAAAAAAACCCTCAAATCTGTATTATTTAATGCCTTGTATTTTTGGGGTTTTTTTTTTTATTTTTAATTAGCTCATATTTTTACAAATTGACAGATACCAGGTCTTGTATATAGCTTTGGGTTTTACTGTAATTGGCTGAATACATACATTCCCTAACCCTTCTCAACAAACTCACAGAACAGACGGTCTAAAATTACATATACACTTTTGACAAAACTTGATACAGAGCTGACATTTTGTTTGTTTCCAGCTGCTTGTAGGCCTCTTTCTTCTAGACTGATAAATTATTCAGCAACTCAATCAGTGAAAGTTGCCCAAATGACACTTGCACACATATACAGACATGAAGTCATGTTATTAATTATAATGAGAATGACTGGTTACAATCTAAGGCCAACTGACAATGAATAGTTGGTGATAATGCAAATTACTTGTGACATACAGATCATTCTCAGGCATGTAGGCATTTGTAGCAGTGCACCTATCATGACCTAATATGCTTATGTGCAGACTTTACCCACCTGGAGAGTCTTCTTCAGTTATGTGAATGACCTGACAAAAAGCTGTATTACGTAGAAACTATAATTCTAACAAGTCTGGTGTAACATATAGCATACAAGTAGAACAGAGTTAAGGTTGCTTTGAAATGTGCTTCATTCTTTTTAGAAATAAACAATGGAAATGTATGCCATTTTTACAAGGTTATTGCATGTATCTAAAAAGTGTGAAAAAAATGATGTAATAGCACTGATATAATAAACGAAACTAGACTAGACATGAATTAAAATTACTATGAAATGATGCTGTGTACTAACACATAATTTTATCTCTATTCTTTGTTAGTTTGTTCACATCAACTTATATACTGTTTGTGTATTGAGCTGGATATTGCGATAGCTACATGACCAAAACACACATGACCTGAAAAATGGCCTAATATTAGAATATATTTAGACAACCAGTAAAGCTAAACAGAAGCAAAAACAAAACAAAAATATAACAATAATAATAATAATAATAATAATAATAATAATAATAATAATAATAATAATAATAATAGTTCTTAATTTCATCAAAGGTGCTTGAAAGGATCATATAACTAGATGGATAAACATGCTGCAGAACATGAACATCCCAGTCACCAGGAACAACCTGCCTCGAGTCCATCTTCAACCTATTTTGTCAGTAAGATGGTCAAAAACTGCTGCTCCAACCATGACCCCAATGAAGACAATGGTAGCTGTGTTTTTCTGTTGGTTTATGTCTTATCACAAACCAGATCCCACTAGAAGGGAGGATGGCCGAAAGAAGAACTTTAGCTGATTTAGGACTGGTATTCATTTCCTGGTTTTTAAATGGAAATATTGAATCTCACCTCTGTAGCCAGAGTAGATTTGAAGGTGGTGGAAAACAATAACTTGTGTGCACCTAACAGGCCAAACATTTACTTTATACTGAGGATGGTAGGATGGAAATGTCCTAATTTAAAAAAAAAAAGCATGCATGGAAAGTGGAAGTCAATAAAGCATGGAAGTAAATAAACTCAATAAAGTAAAGTAAGCATCACCATCGATTCACTATCAATACCAGCCTATCTTTTCATTTGCTAATGAAATGTGTTGTATACAGTGAAACATGACAAGACTAGTGAATGACAAGTGAATAATAGTGGTGTTAACATTACGTTTATTGACACTCGTTGAGCATTTCAACAATGATGATCTTTGAAGTTGTAACATGGTAACTTTACTACTTAAAAATCAGTTAAGATCCAATCATTATAAGTCTTATTATTGATGACTGTGTTTTTCTTATTGAATCTCCTTCCTTGGTGACTGTCTCCTGCAATATAAATAAGACTTCAGTTAGTCATTTGACCTTACATGCAGACATCAGGACATAGAATGTAATGTGTATTTTGGACTTTGATAAACAGTAAACTGCAGTTTACTGGATTATTGTTTCGTGGGGAGTTTCTGTGAATGGTTAATCTTTTAGCTTTAGTTTGGATACTGAATTACATGCTGTGATGCTTTAACACTCTCTTCTCTTTACCTTGGTTTCTCAATATCTTCGATGAACTCTGGCAGTCGGGTGTTTAATGTTTCGGGCAGAAGTGAAGCAACTAAACCAGTTCCAACTGCCACTGCACAGTAAGTGGCTGCAGGGAGGAGATGCCACAGATCTTCCAATAGTACAATGAGTGGAGAAATGGACACGCCAAGTCGTGCAAGAAATGAGGTGTAGCCTAAGCCATTTTGTCTAAAAAGATCAAACCACTGAGGTTAATGTAAACCTTTCATATGAATAATCAAAGCAAGGCAGAAGAACGTTTTTTGTGGACTAACCGTACGACCGTAGGGTAAAGCTCAGTTGTGTAAAGATACATGATAGTGAACGAGGCCTCTGACATAGATTTTCCAAGAACTGCCACAACAGTACGAACAGTCCATTTATCTAAGGAGAACAGGAGAGAGAACACATCCACCCAAGACCAATGCTCTATCTTTTAATTTCTAAAGATTGATCCTGCTTACCACCAGAAATGAACGCATACATTCATATCAACTCTCGGTGGCAGAAATAAACCGCTAAATGTACGAGAAATGTAAGAGAAATGACCTTTTGGAACAAAGATGTTGATGAAGAGACAGAGACCAGTTAATAGCATGGAACCCATCTGGCCATGCTTTCTCCCAACTTTCTCCAGGAAGTAATAGACGCCAATCTTCATGGGCATTTCAATGGATGCAAATATGAACTGTGTTAGGTATGGGTTCAGTCCAAATCCTGTGATATTCAGAGTTATTCCATAGTATGTAAATGCAACGCCAAACCTAGAAAAGAGGGAGAAGAAACACTTAAACTTAGGCTGATAAATAAAGGGGTAAATACAAATTTCCTCAAAGAAACCCCAAACATGATTGCAACTCTCATTTAAATATTTTTTTAAAATATTTTTTACACTGTATGCTAGAACAAAATCAAAAGCTGTGTAAATTTCCCAGTGTCAAAAATGATAGCTATAAAAATAACAATTGCTTTATTTCCGTGAGATAGCTCAAAGGCTTTAACATCTTTGTCCCAAATACAATTTGGCCCATTTGTCTATTTAATAATCCACCCATAACTGTCACTTAAGATAGCAAAAATACACACACAAACACACACACAGAGAAAAGTCAGTTAACTCTTTTTAAAGTGCGTTTGGTAGAAAATGCACACATATGATGAATATCTGGAAGAAATCAATTTGCCTTTTCCCAAAAAGCTAAACTATCTCCTAACTCCAAACCATTATACCAAAACTTACCATAGCATTCCTGAGTATATAGCAAGTTTTCTAATATTTGGGGTTCTGAAAAGATCTACAAAAGTGTACTTCTTAGCGCCATGTTCAGTTTCTGCACATTCCAGTAATGTCTGTGAGAAAGCCAGGGAAACATAATGTGAATGTTCATTTACAAAGCCCCCTTTTTGTCTTATTTTACAGTAAGACTGTCGGCTAATAAAAAAAACCCCAAAAACATTTTGAGATGTACCGCTGGTGTGATGGTGGCCATGCACTTAGATCTGTTGTTCATCTTGGCACATTTCATTATGTAATGATGAGCAGCATCTGTCTTTCCTTTGGCTACAAGCCACCTAGCAGACTCTGGAAGCCACCTAAATCAACAAACATGGTGAGTTTAGCATCTGATCAAAATCCAATGAGATTAAGGATACTTTGCAAAGTCAGCAAATAAAACTTAAATACCTCCAAGCAATGATAGACAGAATCAGGGGGGAGGTAACTGCTAGAATCAGCTTCCTCCACTCGTTTACAAAATATGCAGTGCCAACCAGGATCCAGTTCCCAATTGTCCAATCCAGGCTTATGATCACACCAGAGAAAGTCCTGTGTTCAATGCTAAACCATTCAACATCTGTAGAAACATTAGCACAAGTATAAAAAAAAAATTATAAAAAAAATTGTGCAAATTCTTGAAAGAGAAACAGAATATGCCTGTAAACATGAACCAGGCTATAATGTCTCAGTCATAGGTTAGCACAGCTTTAACAATATCCTGCTTACTCAAAACAATGGCCATGATGCTTATTCCTGCGAGTGACATGCCCGTAAAAAATCTCAAGATGACAAACATTACATACGAGGTGGAGAATGCACTCAGCACTGCAAATATCAAGGATGCCAGATAAGACACGAGCAGAAGAGGACGTCGCCCAAACCTGGTCATGGACAGAAAAAGCATGAAGTAATGACTGTGCTCACATCTGTGGGGTAAACCTCTCACATGTATATATGTTAGTGCTGTCAGTGTTAATCTTGTTAAAATGATGTTAGCGCGATAACCGCATTAACGCAGCAAATCTCCTTTAGCGAGTTAGCACGGATCGCCCCGTGCGTGGGGCAGCACGGCGCCGTTAACGCTGACAGCACTAATATATTTATAATTCGCAAGACGGTTTAATTTTGCAACACTTCAACATCTCTCTTATTGATCTTATTGTTATTTTTTTTTCAGTTATATACATATACATATATATCTGTATTGGCATTGGTAATGGTACTGGTAGAGACTGAAACAGTCAGACCTGGAAAATAAAAATAAAATAATACATTTCTGGTCATTTTGTCGAATACACTAGTACATTAAAAAAAACTGGAATATTATGGAATAGAATTTCATTTAAAGCAGTAAAATTTTTGAATTAAATCAACCATGTTCTATATCCATTACAGGTGATGTGAAATATTTCAAGTCTTCCTCTTTTCTTTATTTTTTTTGTTATGTGTGATATTATCAGTGTTGGGAAGGTTACTTTAAAAATGTATTCCACTACAGATTACAGAATACATGCCCCAAAATGTATTTTGTAACGTATTCCGTTACGTTATTCAATGAGAGTAATGTATTCTGAATACTTTGGATTACTTAATATATTATCATGCTTTTTACAACTACACTAATGTACTATTGCTGTGTGATTTATTGCTTTTACTGAAGGTTATTCGTCATAGCAATGCCAACTAGATTTTTAAATCTTAATAAAAAATGAGTAACAGGGTTGATATTAGGTAAGGCTGCACTTTTTTCAGTGATCTCATATAGAAAACTATCCGGCACGTATATAAAACAGGTCTGCAGTGTTGGGGAGTAATGGAATACATTTACCGCAGTTACATATTTAAAATACAAAATACGAGTAACTGTATTCCGTTACAGTTACCGTTTAAAAAGGTGGTATTCAGAATACAGTTACTTTGTTGAAATAAATGGATTACACGGCGGTACTTTCCTGTTTCATATGTTAGGCTATGCTCTCTCTATTTTTGGTAATTCCACGCCGGTGGAAACCCAAACAAAACACGCATTAAGAGGCTCAAATGCCTGTGTCTCAATCTCACATCTCATAATGACGTGAAGAAATATTTTTTAAAATGATTTAATATGAAGGCAATAGGCAGAGTCTTACAGGCATCGCCCTAAAGAATGTAGCCTCCTGGGCAGCTAGTCCGTGCTGCAGGGAGAATGGACTGCCGTACCCGTTATGTGTCTGTGAGCGAGGGAGGGAGAAAAAGGAGAGTGGAAAGGTACGAGTTGTCATCGAGCAGAAACGGGAGCTGGAAGCATGTAAATATAATAATAACCCCTGCAGCCAAGAAGAGTGCCTGACGAGCCCAGTTGTAAGTACGCTATTAAGACTCGACTGTACACTGTGTTCGTGTTTTCCTCTGAAACAACAAGTTCCGCTGGAGCCTTTCAACGCCTCTCTCTGTCTCTCGCTAGCAAAGTTGACCCAGACAACAAAGTAAAGCTAGTTTTCGGCTACGAGCCCGACACGGAACCGGATGTATTAGCCAGAGGTCCCTTTACGGTTTTACACCTCTACGGTGCCTTAATCATCAAAATTATCGCAAAAAATGATTTAAAATATTTCACAATGTAGAGTGTATATGAGAAGAACTAGTATTTTTGACCATTTAACCCTTACCTGTCACTGAGAAACCCAAAAACTGGGGCTCCAACCATAACACCAATAAAGAAAATGGTTGCAGTTGCCTTGTTCATACCTTTTCTGCTGCACACGAGATCCCACTGCAAATAATCGTTAAAATATTACAATATGTGATTTTACAGTTGCGTCTTCTGGAAAATAAACAATAATTAAATGAATGATGCTTGGGGAAATTACATTAGGTAGTTGGATTATTTTCTGTAGATAATAAAATGGATAGAAAATTATATCCTTAATGTTAGCAAAATAAAATTAGTTCTTTAAAAAAAAATCCAAATGACTGTGTAAAATGTCTCTGTTCAACATAACTAATTCTCACTTACCTCTGTTGCCAAAGTAGACTTGAAAGTGCTTTTGTCATATACCCATCCATTTTGACACTGAACAGTAAATGAGCCTTTGCTGCTGTTTGAGCCTAACAGATATTCATATTGGGGCTCTGAAAACATCTGACAGGAGCTTGGAGTCCCATCCCGCTCTGCTGGAATACCAACGGCTAATTTCTGATCTAAAGTTAAATTTCCAAAGACAGCTCCAGTATCCAAAGCATCGATGTTGCAGTGATGCGAAGGAACAGCTGCCATGAAATTATTCAGCAGAAAGTGACATGGCAAAGTAATTCGAGACAGGATCTGAATCAAGACTAGAACAATTTGGAATTTTCCAAATCCATTAATTTCTGCAAGAATGCTGTCAAATTTCATTTTGCTGTGCTTCCTGTATCTCCGGGAGGACAAATGCTCTAAAAGTCAAGTGAAGTAGAGTATCACTCACTATAAAAGACACATTCACCAGCACAATGTTAATAATTAAAATGAATACCAAAAACATGTATTAATAATGTAACTTAACTGTACCCAGTACGATACAGTTACTCAATCAAACACTGGCTTTGCTTTGATCAGTTGTAAGGCTGATATGTTTATTCAAATGCTATAATAGTCAGGATTTATAATTGAAAATTAGCACTCACAGTAGAGAAAGCAAGAATGTGATCTAAAATTGATCTCAGTTCTCAAGAAAGCACTCTTATCCCACAATGCAGCTGCAGTGCAATATGCAAAGGAATCAGATGGTTTTGTAATGTTTTATTTTACAATGGTAGTAAGTTCTAAGACATCAGCTCTGGCAGGGCTTAAATTTAATAACAAACACATCACACCCACAGGCAACTTAATATTTTAGCACCATATCATGTACACAGCCCAAAGAAATATACAGTCACACAGGATTTCTTCATGTAGCAACTGAACCAAGATAAAACCAGCCACAAAAATGAGATCAACTATAGGAGATCAACTATAGGAAGATTAAACCGATCTGCTACAATCCAAAAGCAAGAGCTCCCTTTACAGCAGAACCAACATAATTACAACATTTTTCAATACAACACCTGAAGACCATTGCCACACACCTGCTGCTGATCAGGCTCGTCGGGGGAGCTATTTAAGGAAGACACGGCATGGGAGTCAGGGGAACGCATGGGGATTGTTTGTGTGAATATTTACTGCACTGTAAATAAATGCACTGTTCACCACATGGAGTCCAGCATTTAGGTCCTCCTTTCCCCACATCCCCACGGTCTGCCAGCGCTAACCGTGACACCAAGTGACACATAAGACTTCAGTGTTTGTGTTTTAATGGAGACAAGAAACAAAGAGTATGCTGAGTAGCACAAAAATGAACCATAAGTGAGTGTGACGCACTAAGAAAACATTTTTTTTTATAAATTTTCCTCTACATAATTTTAAAAGAGGGTTCAATAAAATTATTGTATTAACTGCTTAGAAATTACTGACAGTTTTATAATTTTATAACAGCTCATTTTAAGAGATTCAGAAGTAATTATACAACTGAGCGACAAACGACTGACTGTCCTACGTTAAACCACTAGAATTCAAGATCAGGCTCTGATTCCAGGTGAAGTGCTGAATCTGCATGAAATATTTTTATACTGGAATTCTCAGTATGAGATCCAAAGAGACGTTTCAAATGAAAGCTTTTCTTTAGCTGCTGGCTAAAGAAAAACAAAATAAGTGACAGCAAAAACTTTAGGAAGGGCCAAATCAACAGTCTGGTCTATTCTATAAAAGAATGAATGTACTGACCAGCTTATCAACACCAAAAGAAGCCCACAGAAGACTATCAAAGTACATAATAAGGACAGATAGAAGTAGCAGGAATAATGGTTACGCGTGCACAGTGCTTCACTGTGCAAATGGACAATCACCCAGAGCAAACTGCAAAAGCAACTTAAGAGTTTCTCAAGGCAAAGGCATGGGATACTCTTCAATGACCAAGTTACTCATGTGACATCAGTCCAACAGAGGATGTGTTTCAGTTATTAAATACAAAACTGTGGGCAGAAAAGCCCACAAACAACTGTAAAGAATTTTCAGTATCCAAGTAATTTATATTACAGTAGTTTGTCCAATTTGTTTGAGCCTCCCAAAATGGGGACTGCATATAAAAATGTCGGTAACCCCTTTTCCTGCTGCCCCATATTTTTTTAATTATTTTTTTTTTTAGAAAGGAGAGGCTTTCTCCTGGCAACCCTTCCAAAACATTTAACATGATAACTTCACAGGGCTGCATAGCTTTGTGTTAAAACTCTTTTTTCCCCCACCTGACAGTATATATGGAGAAACTGTCACATGACTGTATAAATAAACATATAACAAGCACAAAAAAGATACTGTGATACCTGACTTGCTTTCCAACAGAGTTTAAGATCTTAATATGTTTTTTTACTTCTAATAATAAACACTGTTTTCTTAAAGATTAACCGAGTGATGCGTTATCCCTTTTTACTTTACTTCAGCAAACCACACTTTCAAAACTAGATTGAATTCCATTTACGGTCATCCCCTCAAAGAGAACAGCAGTCTTACATAACCGGTTTATCATTCTGCTGAGATTATTATTATATTAACCCTAATTAAAGGTACATTATGATGAGCAAATCACCATAAATGTATAGGTATTTTAAAACACTATGTAGTATATATCTGCTCGAATCTGAATATAAGAGTCTGTTACTATTATTGCAGTTAGTTTCTTTCAAGTGGTGAATTATTTTAATTATATAATTAATCAAAACCAAACACAGATACTAAATTCAAAGCTTGTTTCAAATGAATCTAAAAATATTTTGAAGCTTCTCAATTGACATGTTCATTATGTCACCTCACTGCCCCTGCATCAACTGAACTGTGTAGGTGGCACATGGGGATGGGTTAGGAACACCTCTTCTTCTCCCTCTTTAAATACAGCTGCATACATGAATGACCAAGGCTACATATGAGCAGTTAGTGGGATAACACTCAGGATCATTTTTTTTTAACAGACAGGATGTGAAGATGCCTGTGCTGGATATCAAGTGCAAAGATGTATAATGTAAGTACCTGATGTTTGGAAAATTATTTTCTTTTAGGGTCTCTTACAGATGTTTAACTCTTTCTGATTTGATTTCATTAATTTCATTTTTAGCTTTGACTTTAACATCTCTATTGATAACAATACAAAAAGTGTAATTTATTATCATGTCATGAAGTGTTTTACCCTTTGCTTGAATTTCTGTGCTTTTCTGCACCAGAAACTGCTCGAGAAACCTAGTTTCCTAAATTCAGTGGCATGAGTTTAAAATATATATGTGACTCAATAAATATATATTTTCACGTTGATTTTGATTTTTGTGGGTTCTGTGGGTTTGTTCTGCCACGAGGCCACTGAAATGCGCAATAAAACTTTGTGTGCAGAGACTGCTGAAAATGTGTCCACATGTTTCTTATGGTTGAGCTTAAACTGTCTAATTATGTAAGAACATGGAAACATCTAATCCGCTAGAGCTCAGTCCTCATTTGGGTTGCCCTTCAGAACAAGAGTTCACTCCTTTGTCAAGGATGCTGACTCTCTGTTTCCATGGCAATAAGTCAACAGACTGAGGTTACTGCCATACTTGGAAAAAGAAACCCCTGCTGCAGCACAGTCAGATTTGCTGGTGGTAGAGTGGAACCAAGGGTGAAGATAAGCCGGTGGCATGCGACAGTGTTTGTACAAAACGTGGCTAGTGTGCAAGAGGTCTTTCAGTTTTAGTAATCCCACAGCTGCATATGTGGTCAGAGGTTTACATCCACTCATTATGAGCATGAATGTTGTAATAATTTGGGGCTTTTAATGATTTCTTTGAATTGTTCTGTTGAATTTGACCAGTCGTATTTGCAGAGCCAGCTTTCAATCATGGACAAGAAAGGGAGTTTAAAGTGGGAAAGCCATTGCAGACCCTAATGTTATCTAGCTTTATCATTCCAAGGCTCCAGTTTTCATGTAAGTTGATTTAAGGTGAAGTTGAAGAAATTGCAAGTATTTATTCTTCATTGTTTCATCCACTTTATGCAATGCACCATTACCACAGGCAGCAAAACAGTCCCAGAGCTTGATGCTACCACCACCATGCCTGAAAGCTCGTACAGTGTTCTTAGGTTTGAAAGCCTCACCTTTACTCCTCCAATTATTCCCCCTGTCAGTGTGAACAAATAGCTCAATCTTTGTCTCATTGGATCATAAAGCTTTTATCCAGAAGGCCTCTGGCTCATCCAGGTGGGCTGCTAAAATAAATCTCAGTTGAGATTGAAGGTGTTTCTTGGTTGGCACACTCTCAGTCCAAGGCGATGTAAAACATGTGAACAGTGACACTGGTGTTTCAGCAGTTTCCAGTTCATGGCACACTTGAGTCTTGGTTGTTGCTAGGTTTTTCCTGAACATCCGAATCAATTCCCTCTCATCTGATGGTGACAGTTAGGGTCCTCTTAGAGAAGCTGGCAAAGTGTAGACACATCTGAATAATTGGTACTAATGTACAACTGTTTGAAGTAGCTAAAATCCCTTCTTAGACCTTCACTGAATTCCTGCTTGCAGCTTTTATGCTGGCAAAGAGAAACTATAAGTTGTCATCAATCTTGATGACTGCTGAGAATTTAGGAGGCCATGGTCATGTCAAGGTTAAAAGCAGATTTAAATGAGTATATGTTTATATTTGAGCCTGTATGAATTGGAGAAAAAACAAAATAAATTCAAGCTTGTGCACCCAATTTTTGTTTTTTAAATAATTGCTTTAAACTTACAAAGTAAGTAAGTTTAAAGTTTAAGTAAGTTTAAAGCAATGATTAGTGTATGTGTACTGTATCTGAGAACTAAACTAAACTCTGATAGAACCAGTTGTGGATGGATGGATGGTGCAGTTCCATCCAGCTGTCTGTCCATTTTCTGCTGAGTCATGGAGGCGGCTGTTTAAACAGAGATACCCAGACCTCCCTTCTCCAGGGTCACCTCCCTTAGCTCATCGAGTCGGTCACAGAGGTGTTCCCAAGCCATTTGAGAAACATAATTTCCAGCATGTTTTGGGGCCTCCTCCAGAATTTCCATTTGTACTTACTAGCAACCACAAGCAATAAAATGTTATAGTAAACAGAAGAAACGATAAAGGTCCCCCCCTAACACGTACAAATGCCCAAGAAAAAGTAATAATTAATGACAGTAGTGAATCATCAATTTTCAGCTTGTATTGTCTTTATAGCAGAGGGTGTACCTAAAATATGTCTAAAGCAATTCAAAGCTAATCAACTGAAAAATCAAAAGATATGATCTTTGTCACATCACTGTAAAAATGAGCTAAAGTTTAAACACTGTATACAAACACAGTTCAAACACAGCTGCGGGTTAATGTCATTGTCATTATCATATCAGGTAATAGACTTACCTGGCCTCTTAGCCAGCTCCAAAAGACTTTGAGTCGGACATTTAATATCTTTTGATACTGATGTTTTTTTTAGTTATGACTTGATCATTTCTACACAGCTGCTATCAAACCAAAATATACATTTATTTAAAATCAAAAGTGTAGAGTAGTATTTGAAAATCAAACAAGCAAAGAACCCACAAAACCAAAAAAGATGAAAGAGTTAATTCTTTTTGGAGACTATATAATTTTTTCTCTGGTGTCATCCTCGGGTCATTATGGTAATATTAACTGACTGATGTAAGATTTACTGACCTTATCCTCCTGGGAGAACCTTCTCTTGTACTAAGCAAGACATTTATCTCCTCTAACACCATATTTTAATAGAGGCAAAAACTCTGGTTTTCCCAGTCCACTTAAATGTACATAAACAAAGTGGTACTCTATAGAAAGAGTGTGTTTCCAAGACCTATTAGGAGGTGTATGTGTTTGGTTGCTTTTTAGAAAATATGGCTTCAACAAAACATGTCTTTGGTTTTCATATAAACTCTTCCTGTGTATAAGAGAAAGTTGGGTTCCTTATAGTGACATATATGGTAACGAGATTATTGTAGATGAACCTGGGTGTTTTTTGTTTGTTTGTTTGTTTTAGATGAACACTCCACTTACTGTATGCATCGTGTACAGCGTGGGACTACACAGTGTGAAGTTTCTACAGCTCGTACTGACTTTAATTTGAATAAACAAAGGCTTATTGAAGAGTATGGATGTTGAGTCACAGTGTTAGAGTGCCACCTCTTGGTGAATGTCAGGAAATGTTTTAATTTACAATAAAAGATTTATATTGTCAGTAAAAACTATTTTTAGTGCTCCCTCCTGCTCTACAAACAGCTCTCCCCCTGTCTGAGCCCTGCTCTGACTGTCTTTTACAGCTGTTTTGAAAAGGACAGATTTTTCTTCATAGTCATTTTCTCAGTTGTGATATAACAACTGATTACCAAAAAACAAGCTAAGAAACAAACAAAAAAAGCATGTGACAAAATAAACAATGTCTTTGAAGGAAGGGAAGGAGGACTGGTGTCTTGGATTTAGTTCTTACATGGAGAGGCTGACAGAGATTTCGGTTGTTGTGACAGATGACGGCAGCGGAGGGAAAAGAAATCTCTGTATAAACACAAGTTCGGAAAACAGCCACCAATTGTTTTGCTTATGCTCTTGGATGTGAATGCTGTTTCCCTCATGATAATACATACCATTCCATTTACAGCAACGGCAGCCCTGTTGAAACTGCCAAAGCAGAGCTGCACTTCCTATTGGGGATAGGAATAATTTAGGAAATAACATGGTAACCACTAATGTCACAAAGGTCACTGAATGCTAAAAATCTCTTAAGCTGAACAGAAAACATGAATTGTAGCCAAGGGTGGACCTTCAGGGGCATGCTATATAGTTATATGTGTGCTGAAATAGTTTGTTATATTGAGATATATATACCTAAAGGGAAAAGATTAATTAGCCTTAAGTTGTTTGTCCTTGTCTTAATGAAGGTATTGCTGGTGAAACCCGGGATATTGTGAAACACTACTAAAGATGGAACCAGAAACGGAAGACCAAGAGCAGAGTGGTAACTTGGCCCCCTGGTCAGGTTCAGATGGGTCCCAGGAGATTTATGTGTCTGGGTCTGTGGTAGAGTCCCACAATGAAGATGAAGTCAGCGAAGCAGAGTACCCGTTAGAGCCAGAAAGTACTTATATCTCCAAGTATGACCCTGACTCCCCAGGACACCTTCAAGAATGGGAATCTGCAGGTGAGCAACAGTCCCCGCCTGAACTTAGTGGAAGTGAAGAAGAAGTATCATATCAGGAAGAGGATGACATCTACCTTAGTGAGTCGAGAGAGTCTCCTCACATCCAAACCTCACAAACATCCCTGCATCCAGAGTGCACAGACTCAGAGGATCATGCTGGCAAGATATCACGGCCACATTCCCAGTCTTCTTTCTCCTCTCTTGGCTGTGCTGCTGATATGACCATGGCCTTGACCCTGACCACAGGACAGCCCACGGGAGCCAGTAATAGAAAAGGCCCAGAGACTGGAAACAGCAAGCTTGAATCTTCAGAGGAAGGAGGGAGCAGTGAAGCACCTCCTGCTTCTGTCTCCTTTGGAATTTCAGATGAGGGTGCTGAGCAGGCAGAGAAGTGGAACTCGGAGTCTGACACAGATCTGTGCAGACCAGACAGGCAGAGGGCAAAGTACACACGTAAGTATCGATCTTCTACCCTCCTTTTATGTGTCAGTCAAGGTAGTACTGCAAACTGCACAGCAGCAGAAAGGTTGTTTTTTTTTCTAAGATTTAAAATGATTTAATAAGATTTGTGAACAGTTAAGATATTATTTAGTTACTTTAAATTCAGCCAGCTGAGGCACACATTACAGTCAGTGAATAAAGTTTTTAAAAAGTTACCTTTGGCTGTATTTACTGTAGCTGGTATGTGAATCAAAAGACCTAACTTAATTGATAAATAACTTTGACAAAGCACAATGGGTGCTGCTGTTTTTTCATGCTGTAACACAGGGTCTATTTGAAGTGGACTTACTGGGAGAATACCCATGGCTTTATTAGTCAGAGCAGGATAAGAATAAAATATGACCATATGATGAGGCTGGCAGAAACAAATTTGACAGACACCAGCATGTGTCACCCTGGCCTGTCACCCGATCCCTTTTCCGATCGTAAGCCTTGACTGCAGTGGAAAATGAGCTCCTCACTTTTCTTGCCTTATGGATGCCCCCTAAGTTAGCTGTAAGTAAATATGATGCTTTTATTAGTGTGCTTGCTTCAGCAGGGGGATCTGAAATTGTGTCTTACCTGTCATGCTTCCATTAGTTGCTTATACTAATGGCATTATCAGTCCCATAGTTTTTTTTTTTTTACTTTACTGAAAATTGACCAATTGAGTACAGTGTAAACAAAAAACATTACAATCCACATTTTCCTATGTTTTATGGTTCAGCTTCTTCTTGTTTTAATCTCTCTCCTTCCTCCTCCTCCTTCTCCTCTCACCCTCGTTCTCTTTCTGTCCCTCCCTTCATTTTTTTCTTTGTCTCAGGGCTCAGTCGCAGCGAGAGCCAGTCAGAAAGGCATGTCAAGGAGACCAAGTCTAAATGCAAGAGAATTGCTCGGCTTCTAACCGATGCGCCAAACCCCCAAAATAAGGGAGCCCTGCTGTTCAAAAAACGCCGGCAGAGAGTCAAGAAGTTTACGCTTGTGAGTTACGGAACTGGTGACAACAAGGTTGACAGTGAAGACCAAATAGAGGAGGGGGCTGAAGAAGTTAGATCAGCCGGGTATAACTTTGTGGCCACCAGTGATTCAGAGTTAGAGGAGCAGTACTCTCTTTATCCGCAGCAGCACAATTTGAGTCTGAATTGGGGAAGTGTTCAAGAAATGGATGCTCTACCAGAGACAAAAGGGAAGGGAGTTTTGATGTTTGCTCAGCGGCGCAAACGAATAGATGAAATTGTTACCGAGCATGAAAAACTGAGGAGTGAAGGATTACCTGTGGAAGTATTAACAGAACCTGACTGTGAACAAGCACAGCAAATTTACGACACTGAGGAAATGTACGCGCATGCTGATCAGGCAGGTCAGAGTTATATGAATGCAAATCTCAAGCAGCATGGAGAATACCAAGAAGATTTCCAGGACATGAACCATCTGTCCAATGTACCAAAACCCTTGGTACCAAACAGAACTGCAAGGCCTTTTCTAGGATTTCAAGATAGCCCAAGTTCTACCCCCATACCTGGGAGTGTTGTTCCAGTTACAAAGAAACACGAAACAAGATTTAAAGTACCTGTGCCTATTAACACTAACGCACAGGTTTGGTCTCCAACTGGAGACATAATAGCCTCAAGAGATGAGCGAATATCTGTGCCAGCCATCAAAACTGGCATCCTACCAGAATCAAAACAGAAAGCCACTAATAAACAGTCATCTGTGCGGGCACAATATTCAGATCTTCACACTCAAAACAAAGGGGAAAGGAGGTCTTATATTGATTCGGAGGAGGACTGTTTTAGTCTAGGTGCTGAAGCTTGTAATTTCATGCAACCCAGAACAATAAAACTCAAGAATCCCCCTCCAGTAGCCCCAAAACCCACCCTCAACCCAAACTGTCCACCATGGATGAGAAGGAGCCCCTCCAGCGAGCCCAATATTCCCCCAAGAAGTCCAGTTTCACAACCTTCGCACAGTCCCGTGGGTCCTCATAGTCAGAATTACTTACAGCAACAAGACTGGGCTCAGCTTCAACAGATGGCCAACCGCTGGGCACCAGATCAAACTCAGGCAACACTTCAAACACCTACTAATGCCTGGGCTCCGGACAGCTCTTCTCAGCTTCATCTGCAGCCAACCACAAATAGCTGGAGTCAACAGCAGCAACGATCCCCTGTGAGTATGCAGGCCCACAGTCCTACTTACAGACCACAGTATCCAACTTCACGCTCAAAGAACAAGGCAGACAGCACTTCACACTCAATTGCCTCTTGCCCACCACAAGCAGGGAAGTCATATATCCACTTGTCAAAAGCACCACAGTTTTCTCCAAAGGGTCGGATCTCAGACAGAGGTACCAGTTGGGCTGGTGATGGCCCAGCTATGACTGGAAAAGGTGCAGAATTGTTTGCCAAAAGACAGTCCCGTATGGAGAAGTTCATTGTTGATGCTGAAACAGTGCAAGCAAACAAAACCAGATCCCCCTCCCTGACCTCATCCCTCCCGAACTCTTGGAGGTATTCATCAAATATTCGAGCCCCACCTCCATTATCCTACAATCCCCTTCTTTCTCCTTTCTATGCTGCAGCCAAACAACCCCCTTCCACAAGCCCAAAAGTCAATGTCAAGACCAAAGAGAAATCTAAATCATCCCCCAAGCAACTCAACTCTTTAGATATAATGAAACATCAGCCTTATCAGTTGAACTCATCACTGTTCAAATATAATGTGGTGCCTGGAACCAAAAGCCCCACCCCCACCCCCAGCCCCACCCCCAGTCCCAAACCAGCCCCAGTGTCAAAGTTTGAGGTTACCAAAAACCTTAAACTTAGAGTTGCCTCTGCCACTTCTCCTTATAATGCCTCTGAGCTTGCTGTTGAAAGCAAGGCAGAAGTCCCAACTAAGTCACCTGGATCGGTAAGTTCCCAAAGTTCTTCTGCCCAAAACACAAGATCGGCTGAGCCTCTTGCAATTGACAAGCACGTGGATAAAAAGCACACTGCAGCACCTGCAGCCCATCGCTTAACCAAAAAGCCAGCACACAGCGCCAGACCTGCAAGCACATCCTCCCAGCAGCCATCTGCTGCTGACAGCATAGCTTCAGCTTTCTCTCCTGCATCTCTTATTGCTAGAGGCGCACGTCAATTGGCTCCTTGGCCAAAGTTTTCTGCTAAGAAGCCAGTGGTGACAAGCAAACACTGGAAACCTGTAGCCATGCTACATTAATTCTTGTACTGTATATGGTCTTGTTTTGGTATAGTCAACACTGAGACAGTAATTACATAGTTATCTGCAACTTGGCAGCCTCTAATGTGTCTTAACAGGTGGAAATATAGAGTCCTTTGCACTAAACGTAGGCCTCAATTGGAATAATTTGCAGCTATAGAGATCTGTTTAGCTGGCAATGTAAGGAAACAACTTAAGGTACAGTTAAGCTCTTTTAAATCTGTGACAGATAAATTCAACATAAAGTACAACAAATAAACACATTAGCACATAACATAATGTCCCTGACAATTGGAGAAAAAGGGAAAAGCAAAACAAAATAATGTAGATTCTTGTGATGTGCTATGTCATGTGCAATAATGTGTGCAGAGAGTCCTGTTCTGCCACAATATCTT